GCGGCGACGGCGCGCCCGGGTCCTCGGCCTGCTGCGGGGACAGCAGCCCGTTGGTGTGCGGCACGCTGCGGTCCGTGCCCGGCCCGGGGCCCGCGCCCGCGCCCGGGTGGAAGCGGGCCTTGGCGTAGTTGCTCACGAACTGGTCCTGCAGGAAGGAGCCGGCCATGGCGTAGCGGGCTCCGGGCACAATCTGCGAGCGCGGAGAGTCGTTGGGCGAGGGGGTCAAGCGGTCCATGTCGCAGCCCGTGTAGATCCTGCGAGGGAGGGAGAGAGAGAGAACCGAGGGGTGGCGCGGACGTAGGCACCTTTAGGGTGTGAAGGGAAAGCCACCTCCACGGGTCGCCCACCCCCACGCCTTCCAGCTGTAATTCGCACTCGCCATACAAGATGGATACCACAAAAGGTCACCGACCTGCGTCCTCCCCGACAGAAATAATGGGATCATAAAACGGGGTCGAGCGGGACACAGAGCGTCCAGTGAGACTTCCCTGTTCCCAAAGTCTCTTGCAGAGAGTACAGGTCCCGGGAGAGGAGCGCAGCGGGCGGGGGCTGTGCTCCCAAATCTCCAGCACAGGTACACACCCTGAAGCAGAGGCAGCCAGAGACTACAGTGCCTTTTGCCCAGTGGGCCTTTGCTTTGTGAAGGGTTTCTGAGCGAAATTTCTAAACAAGCTGCCCACTTTTTCCACCCTTTTAAGCTCTCTGGTGTCCATTTGATTGTACAGATGATTTCTCTGCTCCGTTTTCAAATGGGGGCTGGGGGGTGGTGCCCACGTCCGGATAAGTATTGCTCAAAGGCTGGCCTTCCCAGAGCCAGAGGAGTGCTGCGGGAAATAGCCAAGGTACTTTTCCCATCGTTTCCCCTATGTGAGCCTTTAACCCCCACCTCCATCAGTGCAAACGAACGAGAGTTATTTGGAAACAGTTATCAATTAATAATTTGGAAGGAGTGTGCTGGAGATTGAACCCAAGACCTTATGCGTGCTAGACAAGCTCTTTACCACTAGCTACAGCTGCAACTCCAATAAAATTCTTTAAAATGTGTTCTTTATTCTCACATTCTTTATGCAGCTTTTGATCTATTATTGGCAAAAACTTGGGGCGAACTCTTCCAGTACAGTTATCAATCTCCTCTAAGCAATCTATGACTAATAATCACTAAGCTTGATTGGGCTGATATGTGCGAGGCACTATTGTCTGGAGGGTTGTACAGACAGAAACTTACTTTACTCACAACAGTTCTTTTAGGTACTGTCATCATCCTACTTTATTAATGAGGAAACTGGGGCAAAACGGAAGTTAAATAACTTGTCCCATCACCAAGAGGGATTGTACTCTTGGGAATTACCTTAGATAGAATAAAGATTAACTTTAGGCCCTGAGCCTAGAAAATCCCATTAGAATGGAGAGGAAACCAGGGATTGGATGAAGATTAAGTGTTTTCTCATACACATACACACACGTTTCCCTTTTTATTTAGCTCATACATAAGTGTTTTAATCTTTAGTCAACAGACTGTTTTGAAAGAGAGCCTCAGTCTTGTCAGACCTTAATCCTTTAGGAAGGAGATTCCCTGGTGAGTGGCCAAGCAACCTCCTAGTACCCCCTGAACTCATGCCTCTCTTTATTTCTCCAGAACCAAGCATTCCCAAATAACTAATGTAAAAGAGGGAAGAGAGTGTCAAAAACCACTCAACTCTTCCCTATCCCTTAAAAATCCAAGGTATCTCATTATATAGATAGATTTTTGTATGAGAAATGTATAGTGATTTAAGAAAAGGAAGTGGATCTTCCAACAGAGGAGGGGCAAATGAGAGTTGCTGCAGTTGCTTAGGTGCATTCTGCCTGCTACACAAAATTTTCCTCCTGAAATTTAATTCCAGTTTCAAATGATAGTAGTAGAGGGAGGCAGGAAGGGAGCATAACTAGCAAGGTACAAATATCTTCTCTGTTAACCACCACAATGTTTTCAAAAGATAAGCAGTCTGCAACAGATACAGTCTAGAGGCCCAGCCAGGTCCCAACCCACATGAGATTACTGAATTGATTTGTGCAAATAAAATGCTTTGAACAGATGTTCACAGCAGAATTAAAAGCTCAAAATCTATAGGACTCTCCTCCAACATCTCTGGTCTCTGAGGCCATATGCTTTCCACTGAGCTGGGCCCAACTTTTCACTAGAATAGTCAAGATCTTCTTCTGGAAAATCATGCTGATAAGGCTTACTTCCTTTGAACTATTTTTGAGGGATATGTAAAAAGGCTATAGTCATGATAGCAATGACTCTCCATTCAGTTTGTTATACAACATCACGTTGGAAGACGAATATCTGCCTGGAGATTTAATAGAGGTAACCACCTGACTTTCCACACATTTAATGTAGTCAAAGGTAGCTTCAACTTTTGAACTCTATTCCAGGCACTCAAAGCCATGAACCCTTCTCTTTTACAGTCCAAAAAAGTGGACAAACTCCCACAATCCAGATTTTGCCATATAACACTATCTGAACTCTTAGACATTATGACTGGCCCTAAGTGAAAGTCCCAGAGAAAGCCCAGAAAACATTCAGTCTACACCTGCTACTGCCCTCAGAAAATAGCCTTTTGCTAGAAAACAGATATAGATGAATGAAGGAGACCTGAATAAAGGGAATCAACACATTTAATTAAACTATAGATGCAAAAGATTAGTGGAAATAGTCTTCTAAAGCTTATAAACAATATATAGCAACAGCATCTTAGTCCTTCCCAAAGCCTGACATCGCTGTGACAGTGGTTCTGCTCATGAAATCTCCTGTGGTAAGTACACATTTTTATTCAGTCTACAGTAAACTTGCACAGGAAATGCTATTTCACAAAACTTGGAAATGGGTAAATAAAAGTCACATATGCCAAGGAGTCTGTAACAACTGCCAGAGCCACATGCACTTTCAGGCAGAATTGCCCGTTTCAGACACAGACAATCTGAGCTGAGCATCTGCAGCGCCACATAAAACACCCGAATGGGAACCAGGGCAGCTTCCCCAGCCAGCCAGCCCCAGAGGCCGCCAACAACTTTGTAATTCACAGGAAAGCTAAAAATAGGCAGAGGAACCCTTTGACCAAAGCCATATAAATACCAAGCCACAAGGTCATCAGAGAGGAGAAACAAGGTGGGGGGTTTCAAACAACTGTCCGTACACACTTCAGCTTCCAAAAGACTTGTAAACAACAATCCACCCTTGACCTAAAGACCAGTTCTACAGTTACTTAATAAGGAACATGCAAAACTACTTACGTGTCATAATTATCCCGAAATCCTTTTGCAAAGGGGTTGTGATCTATTTTCAATTGTGTGATCTAGGAAAAAAAATGATGACTGTAATCTCACCTTCAGTACAGCAAGTTTGTGTGCTTAAGAATATATTATCTGCCAATTCTTACAGGGGCTCACAGCCTACATTTTCATTTATTACCAATATTTTCCTAACTGCAAAATTTAAGAGAATAAATGAAAAGGAGAAAAAGAGAAAGCATCATGAAACTTATGAGGAACATGTTTAAATCAATGATGCATAAAACTAAAGTATCATTTGCAATGATCTATGTGTTCTAAATTGGCTCAAACTCACATTGTAAAACTGCTTAGTACAATGCACCAAAAAAAAAAAATCTTTAAGGGAAACTTGAATTCACCGCCAAATGCTGCCTATTTTTTAGTTTTTCACAAAATTTTTAAAAGTTAATTGCTTCTGATTCACAACCTGAGGATCCATCAAATAGTACCCCCAAATCGGGTTTGTGTTACAGTTAAATCATGTTTTCATTTTTGGTATTTTCCGATGATTATAACAAACACAAAATTCTCTGTCACTCCTAGTAGCCAAACTAGCCACTAAAATCAGTTTTTGTGAACATGCAAATAATGATGAAGGTCAAAACTCCTTAGCTCCCTGTAACTTGACTTACTGTAATTTTTACATATATGAAAATGCTTTTTTGATACCCCCAGAACAGTGATAGCGTTGTTTGTTCATTTCAGTTATCAATTCTGAGACTTTTTAAAACATTTTTTAGATTCCAAGCCTTGCTAAGAATAAAATACAGGAAGAAGCTCTGCTTGTTTCTATAGAGGGACATCTAAAAAAAAATTTTAATCTGTACTAGTTGGAAGACTAATTTAAAACTTCCAAATCAAAAGGCCCTAGAAATCCTGGACACATCACAGGTGGTCTGGGTGCCCCGAGTCAGGAACGAATCGGAAACATTTCCCCCATCGCGTCGGTTTTTAGGGAAGGAGACTAGTAGGTTCTTAACCCTATGCTTCGAATGCCCCAGCTGTTGCAGATGTTAGTGCTGCTAGCGCCCGAGCCCAGGAGGGCCCGAGACAAGAGTACCGGAGGAGCCTGCACCACCCGCGGCGCGCCCAGCCCCGGCCTCCTTACATCCGTATTCTGGTAGGCGGTGACAGCGATGAACTGAGTCTCGGGGAAAGTGAATGTCTGCACGCGGCCGGGCTGGCTCGTGTCCTCCGTGCCGTCCTCGTTCACTTCTACCACATGCAGGCGGGGCTGGTACTTGTGCAAGGATTGTAAAACCACCATCTGTCCGGCGAGGAGAAAGGAGAGCGCCGGGCGGCGCGTTAACGCGCGGTCTCCGTCGCGTGGCTCAGGGCTGCCGGCTGCTCGCCCAGGGCCGAGCCAGGCATTCGGGAGCCCGCAGCACCCGATTTCTGTCCCCCGGACTCGCCTGGGTGCGGACCGACTGGCCCTCGCACCTCTAGGAGCGAGGATCCCCAAGGCACCGGAGAAAAATGGAACAGATCGCCTTTCCTTGGTCGGTCCGGCTCCTAAATGTTCCTTTAAGGAGGAACAAAGATTTTTTCAAAACCTGCAGATCTTGTGGATTTCCTTCTGATTTCACTTGAGAAGTCGGGAACTCTGGACTTGGGCAGAGGGGGCGGGGGCGGGGGGCACAACTCTACAGAGAATATAATTTTGGAGAGGGGAAATACAAAATTTTAAAATGTTTTTAATGAATCAAAGAAAGTATCTAGCTTCTACTGGCGTTTTAAACTGTTGAGTGTGTGTGTGTGTGTGTATGAGAGAGAGAGAGAGAGAGAGAGAGAGAGAGAGAGAGAGAGAGAAAGAGAGAGAGAGAGCCCTTGAGCCACTGACCTGCCCATTGTTGTTTGAAGCTCCTTTGTTGTTCGTAAGTTTTAATTTTCCGAAAGAGATTTCTTGGCGCATCCAGTGCGCCCCAGTGTTGGGGGAATCCGGATGCATATAGACCCGATTTCCTAGAGAAAGAAATATGTTGTTTACATAAACTCGGGGCACTGCCCAGTCCCAACTCCTCAGCATGCAACACACACACACACACACACACACACACACACACACACACCTTACTCCAGTGTGAGGCCCATTAGCTGGGCTTTTTTAGACCATGCTTTCTTCCTATTCACTGGGGTTGATTAAAATAGCTTTTGCATAATCCTCCCCCTTCTCGCGTTCAGTCTGTCCCCCTGTCCCTCTCGTCTTCTTTAAGAAGTCATTGGCCCGATCGTTTTAAAAGTCGTTCATGCCAGTCCACAAAGGCTTTAATTAATCATTCTCACCTAAATAAGTGTCAAGAAAACGTGTTAATTGGAAGGACTTGCCTTGCACATTGGTGTCCGCTTTACCGCAAGGAACCCATTTGCCTCCTTGAAACCTCCAGTGATTGGGATCCGCCAAAATCACATCCACAAAAATATTGTAATGAGCCGTGGGATCAAGACCAGAAATGTTAAAACTTAAAAAAGGAAACATGCGCCTGTTTAAAGTAAGGGGGGGGGAGTAAGGGGGGGAGAAAACAAGGAAAAAAGAAAATGTTAAAGATTAAATGCTAGAAGCGGGGCGCCAGAAGCAAAGCAAAACTTGTTCTCCAAGCACAGATGAACGGATGTTTGCTGGTCTAGAAAAGCGGTGGTAGGAGAGGAAAGGAAGTGGGACCGAAGTCGGGAGAGCAGCGAGTGAGCTGCAGTAGGGAGTCGCGGGTACCGCGTCTCGGGTGGAGAGCGAGGTTGGCGACCTGCGTCTCAACCTGTCCGTACATGCTGGCGTTGGCGCGTCCCTCCCTTCGCCCGGCAGCGGGCCGGGGCTTTTCCTCTTTCTCACCTTTCTCCAGCCACTGACCGGCTCTCCAACCGCGTTGGTACAGCGGCTGCCCTTTACCAACATCACCTTGCCGGTTATCCCTTCCACTTTCCCCTCTTCCAAAACTAGCCAACTCCAGGGCGCCCCAGAGCCTTCCACTCCGCTCCCGACCCCAAATCGTCGCTGCCGCGGCGGTGACAACCTGGGCGAGCTGTGCCTGGACCAGCGGCAGCCCAGAATGTAGCATTACCTTCCCTGTTTGGTGATGATCATCTCCGTTTGGTGCCGGTGAAATTTCAGCCAAAGGGGCCTGTTGCACAGGTACACCTGCGCTTTGCCAGGCACCAGCCCCGGCTGGGTGGAGGAGAACTGGTAGAACGGGGCTCCTTGGTAGGAGTGGCCGTATTGCTGTGGGTAGGGGTAGCCGGCCGTGGGGTAGCCCTGCGGTGAGGAGTTGGACAGGAGGCTGTTGTAGGCTCCGTTGGTGATGACCGGGTGGTGGGCCATGTAGCGGCTGGGGCTGCCGATGGAGAAGGCGGGGTGCGCCGGTCCGTGCTGGCCGGGGTACGGGAACATGGCACTGGGAGCAGTGGCCGCAGACTGTGGCTGGCTGGACTGAGAGAGGAGGTAGCGATCTGCAGCAGAGCCATCGAAACTGTGACGAAGCTCAGAGACCCCGTCCAAGACAGGAGAGAGTTTACTTCTCTGGACGTCCCCTGGTGAGTCCTTGGAGTCAGGAAAATTGTCTGTATCTGACTGATTCGTCATCCCCCTGGTAATTTTTTTCAAAGGTGAACTTCTCTCCAGGTTGTCAGTGGTCGAGATAATGGGATGATCGTGCAAGACAAGCTCAGATCCGCCTGAATGTGGGTAGCTGCTGCTCACATTGAGAAATTTCTTGGAGAGCATGATAGAAGGAGAAAGGCAATGCTCCAGCTGCATAGCTCTAGAACCTGAACGCTCACCCTCCCGTCCCCGGTTTTTAAAGTGCTATTTATCATAAACTAGAAATCCACAGACCCCCTCACTAGACAGAAAGCACTTCACCAGCAAATGCTTCTCAAAGGTTTGATTTACTTTTTTTTTTCCCTGGGAGAAGAGATTGGCCAATTGACACTATGCAGCAATCAGAAAAGGCTCACTTTTGATCTCGCTGCTTGTGCAGCCGATGAAACGGCTCCTGCCATTGGTTAACTGCTGACAGTAATTTAATTAGATAGACATTAATTAGGATAATCACCTGGCTCCTGGTCGCGACGATCATGGCAAATTGAAGGGGATGATTTTATTGTTGGCTTGGGGGTGGGGAATGTGTGTTGGTTCCAGTGAGCTCTGTTGTGTCACCTTTAAGCTTTGTGACCACTGCTTTAGGAAGATTCAAAGATGTGCAATTTACTAAACATTTTTCCTACCTTCCTCCTTCCCCCCTTTTGCGCGGAGGGGTGGAGGAGGGAATTCGATGATGCTAGGAGACTTTTCGGATCTGAATGAGCCAAATATTCAGTTGAATGTAACGATTTCAAGTGCAAAGTATACAAAGTGCGAGCCGGTGGCCTCTTCTCGCCCTGTAAAAGTTCCAGAGTCTGTCTTTTCCAGTTAATACAGAAACACACAACACCTGAACCAGTGTTGTGAGCAGGTCCTACGTGTCCCTGCCACCCCTGCTCCATCCCCCACCCTTAAAACTACATACAGACATAAATAAATCACTGCCGCTGAGAGTCACAGTGATGAGCCGGAGGGGGAGAAGTGGGGAGGAGAGGCAGCAACTCACCCACCCATCCACCCACCTCGGGAAGGTGGTTCGATTTCTTGGTGGAGCACAGAAAGAGTAACAATCTATGATCTCCTTTTTAAGTTTTGAAATAATCATAAGCTGTCGGGCTGAAGTGCTGTAATGTATTTGCAGTGATGTTTACCGGGTCTTTACTAAATATTTTATCAGCGAACTTGGTTGCAGATTATCCGAAGAGCATCTAACTGGGGGCAGGCACCATGCATCTTTGCAGTCCCACCTCACTGCCTTCTCTCAGAGGTACCGATTTAGCGACAGGTTCAAAAGCCTGGCCAGGAAAAGAGGGCTCTCCAGAAGCGCTGATCTGGGGAGACAGAGTGGAAGTGCCATGAACACAGCAGTGATCTTGCTGAAGACTCCTGTGTGTGTGTGTGTGTGTGTGTGTGTGTGTGTGTGTGTGTGTGTGTGTGTAATGTTTATATAATCTGGAGGGGAGAAAAAGAATCCATGCCAGTAATTTTAAAAGGAGGAAAGATCTAAGGAGGAATAGAGAAAAGAACCAATTTAAAGGGATGGTGGCACAAATATATAGCAGAAGACCCAAAGCACCTCTGAGATGAAGGGAGATCTCAATACCTGATCTACAAAGGAGCCCAGCAATTGGCCTATCAGAAGACCAAGAGCCGCGGAGGCTCTGTCTGCCCAACACTGCTTTCTTGGCCTGGCGGTTGCCAACCTGCCTTCCTTGGACTTTCCTCCCTGACGCGGCTGAGCCGCGCGGGAACGAGGAGGAGGAAGAGGAAGAGGAAGAGGAGGAGGAGGAGGAGGAGGAGCGCAATGCCAAGGTTCCCTGCAGTCCAGCGAGGTGGCCGACTGGAGGGCGGGCTCCGCCTCAGAGGCAGGGAGCGCCTGGCGACCACCCAGAGGCGCACACTCTTCCTTGGCACAGGCGCGGCCTGCGCATCTCGACCGGGTGGAGCCTCCCTCTTTGAGCGCGCGTGTTCGCTTCCCTGGGCCAAAACAGCTCCCTTCAGGGAGCGAGGCCCTAGGGACACTGGGTGGGTCCTAGGCAAGCGGAGTATGCTTTTATCAATTTCGCCGCTTCGCGGCAACTTAGAGTAACACGGTGGACCGAGCGGTCAGCGCCCAGCCCGGACTGCGCCGCCCTTCGAAGCCCTCCGACGCTGGTTGGCGCTCTGGCTGCAGTGGGCACCAGCTGCGGCCTCCAGCAAGGCGCCGCGGGCAAGGCCCAGTGCGGGCAGCCCTAGGCCAGGGAGGTCAGGGACCAGATGTCTCAGACTCAAGCTGAGGCAATTTTCTGGGAGAAAAATAAAACCAGATCCACTTTTCCCTTCGAAAGAAAGTCGTAACTTCTGAATGCAAGCTTTACAAGCAGTCTTAGCTGTTGAGGCACTGAGGTGTGGAGGAAGGGGCCAACAGCTACACCCCTTGACACATTTTCCTACCTTGCCCTTCTCCCGCCTTTGCGTGCGTGAGGCTTCAGCCCCACTTTGGCCACTATCATTAACTCCTGCCCCCCGTACATCGCCCTCTGCTGCTTCCCACTGCATCTTGCTCGGTCCTCAGAGGGACACAGCCTAAGGATGTACAGGGAAGGTGAAACACCACCTGGGCTCTTTTTAGGACTTTGCCATTCCTGGCATTCAGAAGTGGCTTTTCAAGAAATGAAGAATGCTAAAGTGACATGTTAAGGTGTTTATGAGAATAGATAAGGATTAAGTACACCTTCCTCAGAACTGGGAGATAAATGTACTCTGACCCCACTCAAACCACCAGTACTAAATACAGAATCAGACGCATGCTTTGTCTTGAATTTAAATGTGCTCAACAAGGAAGACAAAGACTTTCCTTAGGATCACAACCTTCTACTTCTGTAGAGTAGTACTTCTTATATTTTAAAATGCATATAAGCTGGGTGTGCTGGCACATGCCTGTAATCCCAGCACTTAGGGACTGAGGTAGAACCATTTCCGCAAGTTCAAGGACAGCCTGGATTACATAGTGGGACCCCAACTCAAAAAATGAAGTGATTATGAACCACATTAGGATTCTTGCTTGTGATTGTAGGTCTGGGGCGGGACTTGGATTCTATGCATGTATTTCATACTTGCATAGACTAAGATGCTGTCAGTCAAGGCAGATCACATTCGGAACAATGAGGCTGAAGTTGTCCATGGCCCCACGCTAGTATGATAGGAAAGCAGGGACATCTGTAGCAGTGCTAGAAACAGGCAACGTTTTGTTTCTAGAGCTGCTTTAACTCTGCATGGTGAGTAACAGTGAACTACATATGCAAGTACACAGTCTTAAATAGCTTGTTGAGCTTAACAGGTTGTTTTGGTGCCTAAATGGCCCTGGGGCATTGGGCTGCTGCTAAAATACCTAGCTGCACATTCTAAGCAACAAACGTGTTCCCTGAGCTGCTCAAGACAACCTGATTTTCATCCACTCCAGGTCTAGGAGGATAGTTTGCTGTTTTTTGTTTCTGTTTTTTGCTTGGATGAATTTTCACAAGGTTTTGAAACTGGGACTATCTCCAGCGTGAACCAAGAAAGAGGAAATGGAATGTGGGATTCCAGGAAAATCAAGTGATCAAGAAAGGGCAAAAGACAGGCACTAACTCTTTCCAGTCATAGTACTCAATCAGGGTATTTTCAGGAACCAAAATGGAGGAAAAACAGTAACAAAAACAACATCTTTTAATCTGAACACTGAGACAAGTCCTTGAAATATGGAGACTTTCTGAGGAGGGCAGTGTTCCAAAAAAAAAAAAAAAATCTCTTACCTAGCTCTTCTCAGTAATATCTGTGAAGTAAATTACAGAACCTTACTTTTAAAGGGGAAAAAAAACCTTATAGCCAAGATCCTGCACAGAAGTCTAAATTAGGTTATAGGAAAAATTATAACTTGTACTTAAAGTGTTTAGGTATAATCCCAACAATTTAAATTAACACATACTGCATGTCCTACATAAAATGTACTATCACTATATCTAAAAGAACTAACATTTTATTCCAAAAATGACACTGAAACATCCTGAGAATTTAAGCCATGTCCACTTCAAGCTTCTGGTAATTTCATTAGGCAACCAGTAACAACCTGCAACTGTTGAAATAGAGCAGTAACTTGGTCTACCACGGCATTTGTAATACCTCTACTAAAATCAAACTATGAGGTCAAGTAGAACCTTCTTGTTATACAGCCTTAGAAATAGTCTCCCAAGGAGAGGTGAGGTCTAAAATAAAATCTTTTGTCTCCAGAGTTTTGTCATACTGCTTGGAGTACTCAGTATGGTGTCATACCATGAGTGTTAACAGGGGCAGTTACTTTTGAACGGCAGGATAGAAGGATAAGGTTTGAAGTCATCTATGAAAACTGCCACTAGTCAAAATGTTTTTCTCTATCAGAAAACTTAGTACTTCTAACTTAATTTGAGAAAGGTGAAATAAAATTACTAATTATAAGCTTGCAATATTAAACTCACACTACGATTATTTTCTCTCTTTGCTTTAAAGACATTAGACCTTCTATTACTATTTTAGACAAAAATCTAGTGGAGTTTCCAGTAGCCAAGTTTCACTTTTAAAAGCCCCTAGTGGAATGTACTTTTTAAAAACACAGGATGAGTATAAAGTAAAACTGCCCCGTTTTTGTTCTTAAATGTACTTCTCTAAAATTTCCAAAGTATAACATATTAACAGGATACTGAATATACGATATTAACTTGTGAGAAATACTCAATAAAATATTACTCACTAATGAGGTAGCCACTCATTAATGGCAATCATTTTGCATTTGTGAAATTTTGTTATCACATTGTTTCATGTGCTGTAAGATCTTAAAAATGCAAAGGGAAACATATCTTTGTGTGAGATTCCAACGCACTGTCAAATGCTATTCTGTCAGTTCCACCCAGTGCCAAAAAGACCTCAGGAGACATGGATTGTAAATGTATTTTATTTTGTAAGCAACAATCAAAATATATTTGTGCTACGGATTTCTTCAAATACTAAATGAGATCTTAACAATATTTGTCTATTTTGATGTGTTCTTGTACAACTTTGGAATCTGCAAAGACCCTGACTAAAGAAACAGAAGTAATTGCACAACTGAGACTGAAGGTGTTACCGTGCTGCAAATGATGCCAGATGTCTTACATTAACCAAACACACCTTCCGAGGGCCCTTGATTTTGAGCATTAGGAACAAGAGAGGACTATGTACTGGAAGTTGCACTGAAAGCTTTTTGCATTTTTTTATTTAAATACAACAGTATCTAACATAGCTGCTAAACACTGGACAATATTTGAAGTCATAAGTACATCCACATGTTCTTCCAAATGACGTTTGGGATC